AACATCAAGGAAGCCCATGTTAGGGGCTCCAAGAGTTCAGAGTATGTGAGAGCAGGGGTGGGTAATTAGGTGTAAGAGGAGTGAAAAGGTGGGAGGGGATAGAGGTTATGAAGGGCTTTGAAAACCAAACAGAGGATTATAAAATCCTAAATTTTATAACAAACAGGATTTTAAAATCCTATAAAAAATTGATCCTGGAGGCAATAGGAAGCCACTGGAGTTTCTGAATAAGATGATGGCACTTTAGGAAGATCATTTTGATAGCTGAGTGGAGGACAGATTGGATGGGAGAGAGCTGAAGGAAAGAAGACCAACCAGTAGGCTATTGCAATAGTCCAGAAATGAGGTGATAAAAGCCTGTGCTAGAGTGGTGGTGGTGCTGTCTGATGAGAGAAGTGGGCACATATGAGAGATGCTGGCCTTGACAACAGATTGGATATGTCAGGGTGGGAGAAAATAAGGAGCTAAGGATGATATCTAAGCTATGAGCTTGGGTGATAAAAATGGTGATACCTTCAGTAGTAATAGAGAAGTTAGAAAGAAGGGAGGGTTTGGGGAGAAGGAAAATGGGTTCCATTTTGAACTTATTGAGTTTAAGCTGTCTACAGGATATCCAGTTTGAGATGCCCAGTGAGTAGTTGGAGATTTGAAAGTGGAGGCCAAGCAGAAAAGTTAGGACTGGATGAGTAGATTTGGTGATAATTGAATCCACCAGAAGTACTGAGATCCCTAAGTAAAATACTAGAGTAGGAGAAGAGAGGAGATCCCAGGATAGAGCCCTGTGGGCCTCCCACACTTGGTGGGCATTCCAGGGTGAAGATTGAGCCAGGGAGACTGAGAAGGGAAATCACATGGGGAGGAGGAGAAACAGGAAAGAGGAGAGTCCTAAAAACCTCAAGAGTAGAGAAAGTCAAGGGCGAGGGAAGCGGGGATGGACCTGTCAGAGTCTTCAGAGAAGTCAAGAAAGATTAGGGTTGAGAAAAGGCCATTAGATTGGACAATTAAGAGAGCGATGGTAACGTCAGAGAGATGGGTTTCAGTTGAATACTGAGGCTAAAATCCAGACTGTAGGAAGAGAGTGAGAGGACATGAAGTGAAAGTGCCTATTGTAGACAGCCTTATGAAGGAGTTTAGGCACAAAGGGGAGGAGAGAAGTGGGATGATAGCAGCAATGGATGGATCAAGTTGAGACTTGTTTGAGGATGGTGGAGACGTGAACATGTTTGTTGGCAGTAGGGAAACAGTCAACAGACAGAGGGAGACTGAAGATAAGTGAGAGGTTGCAGGATAGATCATTTCTGTCTGAACCCCATCATAGAAGAATGAGATGATATTCATAACAGTTGGCATTTTATAATACCTTAAGGTTTGAAAAGCACTTTACTAATATGTCATTTGACCCCCACAACCTTGGGAGGACGGTGCTTTTGTCATCCCCATTTTACAGATGAGGAAACTAAACAAAGGTTAAATGACTTGTCCAAGGTCATATGGCTGGTGTCCGCTGCTAGATTTGAACTCAGGTCTTCCTGACTCCAGGTTCAACATTTAAGCCTGACATATTATGCTTTACAATTTACAAAGCACTCATCACACATTATCTCATTGAAGTCTCATAGCTACCTTGTGAGCTAGGCATTACAGGTATTAAATATGGAGACAGAACGTGAGATTGTGTTGGCATAGGGAACTCCCAGGTGAGGAAACTCACTCTACTCATGTGGGTCTTTAACTTCTCTGCTACTCAGTCTTAGTTGCCCAAAACTCTTTTTTTGGGGGGGGGGTTGGGCAATGGATTAAGTGACTTGCCCAGGGTCACACAGCTAGTGTTATATGTCTGAGGCCAGATTTGAACCCAGGTCCTCCTCAATGCAGGGCTGATGCTCTAATCACTGTGCCACCTAGCTGCCCCTCTGCCCCAAACTCTTAAAGGTTAAATGACTTGTTCAGGGTTGTCCAGTCATCATATGTTAGAAACAGGACCCAAAGCTACATTTTGTAAGCCTTGAGGCCAGTCAGACTGCCCTTCTCCTGCAAGTATTATTCCCCCCATTTTAGAAATGCAAAAGATGAGTCTCAGAGATGTTACATAATTTGTCTTTGGTCATGTAGCTATAAGACAGACTTCCCATTTGGGATAAGCTTTTCTTTCACAATTTGGTTCTGACTTGTTCATTGGTTTTTCTCAAGTGAAAAGCAGACCTCCTTTCTAGGCTTAGAATTTCATTGGGTGGGGGTCAAGGGTGGTGGGGGTGTAAGTGGGCTTTCTCCTGCCCTAGTCCTCCCCCTCTTCTCCCCACCCTTCTGTCTGCATGTCAATGTTTTTTTGTTTTGTTTTGTTTTGTTTTGTTGTTGCTATTTTCCTCTCTCCTCTACCTTCATGAAACCTCCATCAGGCTGTGCCCACCCCCCAGTCCTCTTCTGAATACTATTTTTGCCCCTGTCTTATCCACTGTTGGGGATGTTGGTCAAGTGATGCCAGCCCAGCTGTGTCTGAGAAGCTCCTAGTGCTGCTGCCCTGCCTTCACCCCTCATACGTGCTCAGCTGTCCCTGGCATCTTGTTAGTAGGGGTGCCAGTCTCCCCTCTGCTTGGCCCGTCTGGCCCCTATTGAAAGGAGCAAGATTTTGGCAGAGAGAAAGATGCGCGGACTCACTCCAATTTGTTTTCTAGCTCATCCACTCCCCACTAGGACCCTTGTCATGTGCTTGTGGGAGGGTAAGGGTCTGGAGAGGCAGGGGGCAGGCACGGTCACAAAGACAATGGGGGAGTACCCAGGGGATGGAGGAGAGCAGGTGGTCCTTTGTCTGGAGATGGAATGAGGGCAGATGGGCTCTCTCTCCCAGAGCTCACCCTCCCCAGCCCCACCCCCACCCCCATCCAGAGGCCTGGTCTCCCAAAGGATAGGGGGATGATGCCAAATTCCTGCAGGACCTATTGGAGGCATATTGGTGGTGATCAGCTACAGCACATGTTTGTCCATCCAGCCCTTTCTCTAACACACAAAGGATAGGTTTGGGGGGGTGGGGGGTCAGGGAAGAGAGAAGAAGGATATTGACGGGGAAGTTCTTGGGTAAAAAAGTCTAGCTTCCTGGGGTTGTTATAAGATCTTAGATCGAGAGCTGAAAGGGACCTTAAGAGTCCATCTGGTCCAAAATCCTCATTGTACAGATGGGGAAACTGAGACCCAGAGAAGTGGAGACTTACTTAAGGTACATGGGCAGTAAGTGGTAGGGGCAGGATTTGAACCCAGTTCCTCTGATCCCAAATCTAGGACTCTACACTATACCATGCTGCCTCTCTGCCTGGGGAGAGGGCAGGATAGAGCTCATGTGCTCTAACCTGTACTAGGCAGGAATCCCCTCAACAGTGTCCCTGATGAGCCCTCATCCAGTCACCTCTTAAAGACCTCCAGTGATGGGGACCTCACTACCTCCCAACGTAGTCTATTCCTGTTTTCAGCAGCTTTCCTAATTAGAAAGTTTCTTCCAGCCAGCTGCCTCTTGGCAGATTTCGGAATCCTGCCTGGATTCCTGACTCTTCCCCTTTGTGGGCGAGAGAAGCGACTGCCTTGTCATCACATTAAAGGAAGCACCCACCTGCCAGGGTAGAGCGCCAGGCAGGCTGTGGAGCTTGCTGGATCAGCTCTCCGGGGACTTATCACCCCGTTCCTGCCCGTGGCTCGGCTTGCTAATGATGCTCCGCTGGGAGTTTCCCAGCCTCCCCAGCCCAGCTCATCTAGGCCAAGTGGACCTCGCTCATGTCCCGGAGCGGTCAGCTCCCCAGCCTTCCTGGGCTAGGTCCCTGTGAGCCCAGAGACAGATCAGAGGAGTCCTCTTGTTTGCAGGACTGCAGGATGGAGTAGAGCTAGGTGTGTGCTGTAGCCGCACCTGGGGTGCCACGTGCCCTGGCCTCTTATTAAAGACCAAGGTACATATCCAGTTCACGGGGCCAGTGCACACACTCTGGGGGGATCACCTCTGGTACATCATTTCTAAAAACTGTGGATTGGGAGGACAGGACGGAGACCCTGTGCATGATGGGAGGGCACAGTGGTCAGTGCACTGGATTTGGGGTCCAGTCCCAGCTCTACTCCTTATCAGCTTGATGACCCTGGATAGGTCATCGCCCCTTTCTGAGCTTTAATTTTTGTGCGTGTGCGTGCGTGTGTGTGTGTGTGTGTGTGTATACATATACATATACACACATATGTGTATATATCGTATACATCTTGTATTTATTTAGTTGTTTATTTTTTCTACCAATGTTTCCCTCCCCCCATTAGAAAGTAAGCTCCTTGAGGGCAGGGATTGAATTTTTGCCTTTCTTTGTACCCCCAAACTCTTGGCATGGCTCCTGGCAAACAGAAAGCACTTAATAAATGCCCACTGAATGCTTCCTAGATAGAAAGATGATGGGCTCAGAGTGCTAATATAAATGTTTATGTTCATATGTGCACACGTGTATATACACATATATACATGTGTATATACACATTGTACAGTATACATGTGCACACATATGTGTGAACACCTACACACATATATATGTATATATGAATCACATAGCCAAAGTGGGAATTTGTTTTGCTTGATTTTATGCTTGTAATGGGTTATGTTTTTCTTACTTTTCAAAGAAGGGGATGAGGGTGGAAGTGGGAGGGAGAGAATTCAGACTTGAAAATAAAATAAAATTGAATCTAAAAAAAAAAGAGAGAGAACTTTTTTTAAAAAAATTTTAATAAATACATGAATTCTTGTTGGCTTGACTTGAACCTGAGAGAAGTGAAAAGATTTGCCAGGGGTCATATAGCTCAGAACGTGGGAGATAGAATTCTAACTGGGGTCTTCCTAACTCCCAATGCTGAGCAGTAGCCACGAGGCTAGGTAGGTGCCCCAGATGAAACTCAAGGGATGGTGGAAAAGGAACCGGGCTTGGTTTAGATCCAAAGGGGATCTGTGACCTCCTTCTGATACCCCCACTCTCTACTTCCTTCTGCAGTTTGACCCTGGGAACACCGGCTACATCAGCACAGGCAAATTCCGGAGCCTCTTAGAAAGCCATGGGTCTGAGCTAGACCCACATAAGAGAGAGGTGCTCTTGGCCCTCGCTGACAGCCATTCGGACGGACACATCTGCTATCAAGATTTTGTCAATCTGGTGAGCAAACCAGCCAAGGTACTCTCCCTCTGGGTCCCTCAGTCTCTTCAGCTTTGACCCCAACTGCTCACTGACGAAAATCTTGTTGGAGCTCTTATCTGACTGCTCTGTGGCGATGCTTTAGTGGGGGATGGGAAGGGTTAAGCATCATCGGGGTCCACTTGACAGAGGGCATCTCAGTGCTCTCCCTTTATCTTGGGCTGTGTTTAGTCTGATTTGGGAAGGGAGGACTGCCTAACTGTGGAAGGCCGGTTATTGTCATGGGTGGGGAGGTGGAGGTGACATCAGTCAAGCTGATCTAAGGGGAGGCGAGGTTAGGCAAGCAGAATTCCACCTGGGTCATGTATGATGGAGAAAATCTCAGATGAGGCAGCCAATCGGGTCAAACTCCAATAGGAAGAGCTGCCCTTAAACCTTTCTAAAGATCCCTTTGGGCTGCATATTGATTTAGCAAACAACATAGTAATATTATCTATGTTTTGTTGCTTTTTATTTATTTCATTAAATGTTTCCCAATTACATTTTAATCTAGTTCAAGCAGCATTGGGAGTGTTGTGGGGGCAGTGTTTGTCACCTATGGTCTAGAGAAATGAGTGCTAGGCTGGCAGGCAGGCAGGAGGAAGCCGACCTTCTCATCCCAGCAAGCCCATTCGTCAAGTGTGGGAGGGCCACTTGAAGTCTTCTCTCTGGGTTTCAGTTTCCTTGTCTGTAAAATGGGCATGATGATTCCAGCTCCTTCCATGTTGCCCTTGGAAGAAGCAAGAAAGAGGGTCCATGAGGGCAACTACAAGGTGTGTCCTGTGTAAATTGAACCAATAGAATCACTGTAATCTATATGCTTTTATCCCAAAATTTGTTGAAAGGATACATGTGTGTGTGTGTGTGTGTGTGTGTGTGTGTGTGTGCGCAAAAGTAAATCTCATTCCATTTGTAAGGGGAAAAGAGAATGGAACAAGGGTTTTATTAAGTGTCTACCACGTGTCAGACCCTGTGCTAAGCCCTTTACAAATAACATCTCATTTGATCCTCACAATAATTCTGGGAGATAAGTGCCATGATCATCCCCATTTTACACATGAGAAAATAGAGATGGACAGAGGGTAAGTGACTTGCCCAGAGTCACACAGCTAGTAAGAGTCTGAGGCTGGAGCACTCTATCACCTAGCTGCCTTTGAGAAGTAATTGTGTCATAGTGAATAGAGAACTGGTCTTGAAGCCAGGAAGATGTGGGTTCAAGTGTCACCTCTGACAGATCTGGCTGTGTGATCCTGGGCAAATTACAGAACCTCTGAAGTCCCCAGGCCACTCCCTGAGATTACCAGGTCCATCCCTATCTCAGATTTAAGTATCAAACCTGTGTGGTACAAAGTGTCCTGTTTGAGGCAGAGAGAGAGAGACAGAGAGAGAGAAGGAGGGAGGGTCAGAGAGAGAGAAGAGAGGAGAGAGAGAGAGAGAAAAGGAGGGAGGGAGAGAGAGTGAATCTGTTTGTAGACATTGGGGGGAGTAGAGAGAGAGAAAATGCATCTGTAAATATTGAGGAAGAGGAGAGAGAAAGTGTATGTGTGTGTGTGTGTGTGTGTGTGTGTGTGTGTGCGCGCGCGCGCATGTATATGTCTTTCCGTATGTCTGTAATATTTGGGGAGAGGAGAGAGAGAAAATACGTGAATGTCTTTCTGTATGTCTGCAGTTTTAGGGGAGAGGAAAGAGAAAGTATATATGAAGAGAGAAGAGAGAAAGTCTATGTATGATATTTGGGGAGAGAAGAGAAAAGAGGTGTCTGTGTGTATGTGTCTGTCTATTTACAGATATTAGGAGAGAGAAAAGCTAGAGGGTGGGTATTAGAGAGATTGAGGTACGGGGTTAAAAAGGAAATATGGTCCTCATCTCAAGAGTTGGACAAAAGAAGCACATACACTTGAAACCACTGAATAAGACATTTCAAAGCAATCTGTGAATTGAAGCAAATGAATGGAGTAAAAATGAAATGCTAAAAGGCCTAGGAATAGAAGGGCCACAGAGATTCCAGAAGGGTCATTCAGGGAAGGTTTCCTGGGCTGGGGTGGGGGTAGGGGAGAGGTCTTGGAGCACACTTTTCTTACATGTCTTTGTTGGTAATATACCTCAGACTACTTCTGCCTTCTGGGCACTGTCTCCTTTGCCACTAGGCCTCCTGCAATTTTGGTTCTTTGGAGACCGTGATGTGATGTGATTTGCAGCCAAGGAGCATTGCTGGGAAAATGTTGTAGTGGAAAAAAAAGAAGGGCTTTTTGGGGCAGAAGCAGCCCGGGATCCCTAAAAACCTTGCCTAGTTTTCTTGATGTCACCCAGCTCTCTTATTTAATCCTGAGCCAAAGTCATCATCTTCCTTACACATGATGGAATAATAATAACAACAGTTCACTTTCCTGTAGGTCTTTCCAGTTTACCAAGCACTTAATGTACCCACTCACCATAGTCCTGCACACGCTCAAGCTTACACCTGCTCTGGACTTCTCCCCTCTAGCATAATTGTTTACAAGTGTGTGAGCCCGGGCTTCCTTAAGCAAATTGGACGATTTGAAGCACAGAACAGTCTGATAATCCCCAGACAGCTGCTGTGGTCATAGCTGAAGAGCTGTATCTACCAGACTTGAGGATTATAAGGGCCAAAAGAAGCGGCCACAAAGGACCATAGGAAAGGCACCAAGATGATAGACATTAAAAAAAGACATTAAAAAAAGATGATAGACATTCTCCTCTTTGCTAACCCTTCACCTCTCTTTGGCTGGAAACCAGGTTTGAAAAGAGGTTAATGAACACTTATTAATCACCTATTGTGTGCCAGGCATTGTGCTAAGTGTTAGGGCTGCAAAGATAACAAAAGATAGTCCCTGCCCTCAAGGAGCTCACAGTCTAACGGGGGAGACAACAGGCAAATGACAAACAAATGTCCAAGCAAGCTATATTCAGGATAAATTGGAGATAATTAACAGAGGAAAGGCACTATAATTAAGAGGGAATGTAGATTTTGAGTAAGAAGAGGGAGAAAGTATGTATGTGTGTTTCTGTATGTCTGTGATACTTGGGGAGAAGAAAGAGAGGAAATATGTGAATGTCTTTCTGTGTGTCTGCAGATTTGAGGGGAGAGGAAACAGAAAAAAAAAGGATATGAAGAGAGAAGAGAGTCTGTCTGTGATAGGCAATATCTGCCTATCAGTTGAAGGTGGGATGTTAGTTGGAATTTGGAGGAAGCCAGGAGGCAGAGAGGAAAGGGGAGAGCATTTCAGGCACAGGAGAGAGTCAGGACAAAGGCCCAGAGTCAGGAGACAGATTGGCTTTAGGACCATGCTGATCCATTAGGGGAGGAAAGAGTCAGCAGCCGGCTTGTGCAGAGCCATGCTGAGGATGTGGTTCGTGTGGTCATAGGCAGGGGTTAAGTACAACCTGAAGAGGTGAAGCTGAGTCTTGTCTGGCTCAGTTTGAAAGTCTAATAAAATGTCTTCACTGCCTGGGGTTGGGGGTCAAGTAATGTACTGAAAATGAGCTCAGCTGGGAGGCAGTGGAGTCCTGTGGAAAGGATACTGGCTTTGGAATCCTTGGACTTGGCTTCAGAGCCCAGCTCTGCTATTTACCTTACCTGTGGACTTGGCTTCAGAGCCCAGCTCTGCTATTTACCTTACCTGTGACCTTGGGTCAATTACTTAACTTCTCTGGATCTCAGTTTCCTCATCTGTAAAATAAGAGAGTTAGACTAGCATCACAGATATAGAATAGGAAGGGACCTTGGAGGCTAGATAGGATGACCCCCATTTTACAGATGAGAAACTGAGGCCCAAAGAGGTTAAGTGATTTTGCCCAAGGTCACACAGCTAGTGTCAAGGTCAAGATTCAAACTCGGATCCTCTGATTCCAGAGAGAGTGCTCCTTCCACTAAGCCATGCTACCTCCTTAGATGACATCCAAGCTTCCTTCTAGTTCTTAATCTGTAATCCCATATCCTGAACTTTGAAAGCCAGGGCACCTAGCAATTGAACCTTTCCTCTGGGTCAAGTATATCCAAATGCAGCTTTTAGATCAGTGATCACAGATTTTAAGCCAGAAGTGACCTTAGAGGGCATTCAATCAGTGATAAAGGTACTAAGGTTAAATGACTCGCCCAAGGTCACTCAGATTCTAAGTGATAGAGGCAAGATTTAAAGGCTTCAAACTTTAAATCCATTGTATCACACTGCCTCTCCAGAGCTCCAATATATTTTTGTTTATCTTTGCCCAATCTGGGTCTCTTATTCTGGGAACTTCCTCACCTGAGATTCTATCTGCTTGAGGAACAGAATAGATATCTCTTGTCCTGGGAGGCTCCAGCATCCATCTCTCCCTTGCCTTTTCCTAGTTCTCTCCCTCCTGCCTGCCTTAGTCCCTTCTGTCACCTTCTCCAGGAGCATTGAAAACGTCTCTTGATTTATATCTTTTAAGGGAAAAATAACACCATCAGTCATGTGTCAGGGTGTTTCTGTTCAAACCCCTCAAGCATCCAGGGAATGTGTTTCTCCAGGGATTGGCATCTCTGAGAGTGGTATGAGTGGGGAAGTCTATGAGGTCCTGGATTACATTCACTCTGCTTTCTTCTTTTTCCCATTCCCCATTTTGTCAGTGGACTTTACCTTCACAAGGAAATAGCTATGTCTGCGCCACCCCCATCCCCAATTCAGACAAGGTGATCTTAGGAGAAGGGAATACCCCATTTGAGATTTCATTTCTATCCTTCTCTCCACAGATGAGCAACAAACGGTCTAACAGCTTTCGCCAGGCCATCCTACAAGGTAACCGGCGCCTGTGCAGCAAGGCATTGCTGGAGGAAAAAGGACTGAGTCTCTCCCAGAGGCTGATCCGCCATGTTGCCTATGAGACCCTACCTCGTGAAATTGATCGCAAGTGGTACTATGACAGCTACACCTGCTGCCCCCCGCCTTGGTTCATGATTGCCATCACTCTCCTGGAGGCATGTGGTACTTCCTGGGGAGACGGGAGATGGGTGAGGTGGAGAGAAGTCCTGGAGCCATGCCCCACTAGGTGTGAGGTGAAGTGAAGTGAGGTGAGGGGTAGGGGAAAAGGGCAGATGAGATGCTCACAACTCCAGAGAAAAAGGCTTGTTGATGAAGAGCAAATTCCCATTTGTGATTTCAGGAAAGCCCTGTTACAACAAAAACCATTGTAGACCCTCCATGGAACATAAAGATTTTCCAGTCCTCATTTGATGAATGGTCGTCTTACATCATTCATTTTTAGACAAAGCGCAAAGAATAACCAAAGGTTTTAGACACCCCATTGGAGTTCACCGTACCGGAATTTGGCCTGGTTTTTATATTCTGAGTCAAATTATTTCAGTTGTCCTTCAGATGAGTGCCATTAGCCTGATCTCTTTGCCACTCTGAACTTCAGTTTCTCGCTCTGTAAAATGAAAATAATCACACTTTCCTTTTCCCTGCCTCATAGGGCTTTTCTGACTATAAGGTGAGAGATTAAGCATAGAAACTCTTTGAATATAGAAGCACTAGATATCAATCAGTCAATCAACAAACCCTTATTAAGCCTCTGCTGTGTCATAGGTGCCTAGGGGATACAAAGGAAAAGAAAGAAGAAAAGCAATTCCTGTCTTTAAGGAGTTTACATTTTACACATTGATATAAATAATCTAGGCAACCTGGTGGAGTGTGAAAAGTGCCAGGCTTGGGGTCAGGAGGAAACCAAGCTAAATCCTGCTTCCAATACTTACTAGCTGTATGATTGTGAGCAAGAGTCACTTAACCTCTGTGCCTCAGTTTCCTCACTTGTCAAATAAAGGTAATAATACCTATAGAACCTGCCTCACGAGGCTGCTGTGAGTTTCAAATAAGATGTTGTACTTTGGAAACCCTAAAGTACTATATAAATATCAAGGTCAGGTTTAGGGATTTTTTTAAAGTCTTATTTTTGTGCTGGGCTTGTGATTTCATTGGCATTTTGGCAGCTAGGTGACTAAGTGGTTAGGGCACTGGGCCTTAGAATCAGGGAGACCTGAGTTCAAAACAACCTTAGGCAGTTACTAGCTATGCAACACTGGGCAAATCATTCAGCCTTTCTCAGCCTCACTTTCCTCAACTGTAAAATGGGGATAATAGCACCTACCTTTAGGATTGTTGTAAAGCTCAAATGAGATAATTTTTTTTTTTGGTGAGGCAATTGAGGTTAAGTGACTGCCCAGGGTCACACAGCTAGTAAGTGTCAAGTGTCTTGTCTGAGACTGGATTTGAACTCAGGTCCTCCTGACTCCAAGGTCAGTCAGTGCTCGATCCACTTCACCACCTAGCTGCCCCTAAATGAGATAATTTTTGTAAAGTGCTTAGCTCAGTGCCTGGTGCATAGTAGCATTGTAGGCACTATATAAATGCTAGCTATAGGGAACTCTCGATAAGGAAACTCCCTCTGTGGTTGCAGAGGAGTCCTTGTTCTGCAGTTTATTACCCTTGAAGATTACTTGGGGCACTGAGAAATTAAGTAGGTTAGGCTTGCTGGTCTACCAGTCAGAATCCTCAGGGAGGAGCCATGGATTCCTCAAGCAATAGTTTTTCTACTCAAATAATCAGGAATTCTTGTCAGCTGCCTAAGCTTTGAACCACTGAGCCCAGGGTCACGGTTAACAAAGCTTTTTGAAACACTTACTATGTGCCAGGCATTGTGCTAAGCTCTGAGGAATTCAAATACAAGCAGAGAGTCCCTCATCCTTAGGGAGCATATAGTTGACATATAGCCCTTTAAAGCTTGCCAAATGCCTTCCATATGTTATCTCATTTGATTTTCACAACTGTAGGGTGTGTGGGTGTGTGTGTGTACAAAAAATATGTGCTCTGTTGTTATCATCCACATTTTACAGGTGAGGAAACTAAGGCAAAGAGAGACTTTCCCAGAGTCACTCAGCTGGTTAGAATCTGAGGTGGGATTTGAACTCAAGGCTTTCTGACTCCAAATCCAACACTCTACATTGTACCACCTAGCAGTCTCAATAGCCAGTATATGTCAGAAACAGATATTGAACCAAGGGTCTGTCTTGATGCTGGTCTGCACTCCAATCGTCACTCCATGCTGCCTCTATAGATGTAAATTATTACTATAAATATATATGTACACACATACATGCACATATATCTGTATATAATGTGTATGATGTGACGTTTCAGCATCTAGTTTTAACATACTTCTAATAGAGTTTCCTGTTAGTCTGTTATAAGTGTGCATCATCTGGATAGAAGTCTCCTAATTTAGGATAGAATTTAGGAATATTTGAATTGAGGACAGCAGAGAAGAAATTGCCCCCCCTTCCCACATGCCTCACTCCTTTGGATGTCCAGCCTGTCCGCTGGCTGCCTCTCTCCCGATGTCCAGGACGTCTCTCCCCCGTCCCAGCTCCTTCACCAGGCTTAACTCTCTGTCACGTGTTTCTGTGAAGTTTCTACCCAACAAACAGCGGTATAATAATCAAGCACCATTGGTTCTTTCATTTTCATCACATTACAGAAGGCCTGATCCACTAGCCTGAGCTCATTTGTTTTGTTGCTATGACCCCATTCCAGACAGTTTTATTTGCAGTGGCAAATTTTCAACTCTCATTTGAGCCTCTCAGGGCTTCTGTGAGATAGACATATCAAGGTGCTGTTATGCCCATTTTACAGATGGGGAAACTGAGGCCCAGGGAGACCAAGTGGCTCGCTTTAAGTCTCATGGGCAGGTAACAGCAGCTCTTCCAACTCCCAGTCTGGTGCTCTTCCTACTATTCCCTTCTGTGTGTGTTATTGTTGAACTCACGCTTCTAGTCCTATGTTAATCCGTTTATTAACTCCTATTTGAGGGCTAATAATGATGATGAAGAGTTACCTTTAGAAGCTGTGCTTACTATCAGCTCAACTGCAGCCTGTGTGGTTGGTTAGTACTTCAGTGGACAGAATGGTTCCCTGGAGTCCCAAGAGAAGGACTGACTTCCTACTCCCACAGTGCTCGAAGCTGTAGTTTAGCTCAGTGAGCACAAGAATAGTAATATAGTAGCATCCAGTTGAACCAGAGGCCATTTTGTGGCAACATCAGCTACGGAAAACACCCTGCGTCGGGGGTGGAAAGCTTTGGAAACAGTTTTCACCAAACCTGTAAAAACCATGCACTCTATTTTTTCTATTCACTCTCCACCTAGTCACCTGTATTTTCAACACAAGTGTAATGAGCTTGGTTATCTGGCTGCCTAACCTACAGCAGATTAGAGGGGGAGAGAAGGAGGAGACATTTTGACAACAGCAATAGAAACAAGGCAGCAAAAGGAGAAAATTAAAAATTAGACAAAAGAATTGGAAAAATTCAGTCTGGGACCATTTGCTGTCTGGAATATCAGCAGTCCTGTACACGACCTCTGACTCTCCCCACTTAGGAACATCCCTGTTTTTAAAAATTCTCTTATATTTATTGATATGTTTTGAGTACAACAGGACAGCTAGGTGGTGCCATAGTGCATAGACCACTGGGCTTGAAATCTGGAAGACTTGTCTTTCCGAGTTCAAATCTGGCCTCAGGTACTTACTAGCTGTGTGACCCTGGGCAGGTCATTTAACCCTGTTTGCTTCAGTTTCCTCATCTGTACAATCAGCTGGAAAAGGAAATGACCAACCACTCTAGTATCTTTGCCAAGAAAACTCCAAATGGGGTCATGAAAAGTCAGACATGACTGAACAACAACAAATCTGGTTCTAAATCCCATTCATTTCCCAATGGCCATCAGTATTTCAGCATGGAAATACTGATTGTTTATAATGATGACCTTGGGTCATCAAGAAAAAGTGATATCATGTGTTCCATTTGCTCAATTTAAAGACAAAGGGGGTTGTGGAATATATTTTAGAAACATTTGCATCAAACATGGCTAAAATAAGACAAGTTTCAGAATTTCAGTACGTGAACTTTATCAGGAAAACTATTGTCAATAATAAATAATTCGTTTTACAAAGCACTTGATGGTAATAGAAGGCACTTCCCTCACAACAACTTTGTGAGGTTGGTAGTGTAAATGTTTTTCCATTCATTTTACAAAAGGGAAAACTGAGACCAAAAGAGGTTAGGGCTTTATCCAGGATTACATAGCTTGTAAATATCAGAGTCAGGATTTGAACCTAGATATTCTGATTCTCAGTCTAAGGTACTTTCCAGTATCCAGTTTCTTGTCCTTATGTGGAATGCCAAGTTGCCCACATGGACAATTGAGGTCTATTAATGTAACATGAAGCCTATGAGCACCCAAACTCTGCCAGCCTGGCAATAGGGGTAGTGAGTAGTAAGCAATAAGCAATGAGTGACAATTTAACATATGACTGCTACTGCTACTACTATATACTGGCTCTGTTAGCTACTACTTGCTAACAGAGAGAGAGAGAGAGAGAACAATTAGTACGTGCCAGACACTGTGCTAAGTAGCTTTGACAAATTTATCATTTGATCTTCACAACAACCCTACAAAGTAAATGTTACTATTGTCCCCATTTTACAGTTGAGGAAACTGAGGCAAACACAGGTTAAGTGACTTGCCCAGGGTCCCATAGCTAATAAATATCTGAGGCTGGATTTGAACTCAGGTCTTTCTGACTCTAGGCCCAACGTTCTATCCACTGTGCCTCCTTGCTACTGCCGATGCCACTACCACTACCACTATTATCACCACCACCACCACTACTACCACTACCTAACATTTACATATTGCTCTAAGATTTGCAAAGTGTTTTATATGGCATAGCCCTAACCCTAAATTGCCTCCTCCCAACAACCCTGTGAGGTAGGTTTATTGTTTTTATTATTATCCCCGTTTTACAGAGGCAGTTAAGTGGTACAGGGGATGGAGTGCTGGAGCTGGAGTTAGAAAAACCTGAGTTCAAATCCAGCCTCTGACGCTTGTTACCTACAAGATCCTCTCAAGTCACTTAACTTGTCAGCCTCATTTTCTCCATCTGTTAAATGGGATTTAATGATAGCACTTACCTGTCAGGATTGTTGTGAGGATCAAATGAGATAATATTTGTGATGTACGTTGCAAATTTTAAAGTACTATGTAAGTGCTAGCTATTATTACTATATGAGTTTATGGAGAAGAAATATGAAGAAAATAAGTACAAATAAATAGAAAGTAATCAGATATAAGGGAATTTGGGAGGGAGGGCACCAACCATTAACGGGATCAGAAAAGGCTTCATTTCCTGTAGAAGGTGATGCTTGAGCTGAAGGAAGAGAGGAATTCTATGAGGCAAAAGTGAGGAGGGAATGAATTCTAGGCATGGGGGATGGCCATAAATTGGATGGCAATGCTGGAGGGAAGGGGGTCTTAAAGCCTAGAGAGAGGCTTGCTACTGGGCTGAGTACCTCTTCTTTTATTCTCCTCACATTTGCAAACAAGGTACTAGATAAACCTTAAAGTACTATATAAATGTCAACTAATAATAATAATAATTAGCAATAACAATGTAGCGTAGCATTATGTAGTTGCTGTAGGATTTTCCCAACATCTGAGCCATAATGAGTAGTTTTGGCACCTGGGATGAACAGCAAGAAAATTAGCTTTTAAATGATAAGATTCATAAGAGCATTGATTTAGAGCTAGAAGACACCTTCGATGTGATCGAGTCAATCTCTGCCATTTTGCCGAGGAGAAAGCAAAAAACTCGGAGGGAAAAGACAAATTCAGCTGAGTGGGAGGGAAGGATTGGTTACTATAGTGACTTGTATGTCATTGAAAGAATGTCAATGTTAAGTTTCTCTCTAAATTTAGGTGCCCTGGGGCAGAACCCTGATCACCTCACCCTAGTTACAGCCCGACTCAGGAGCTTGTTTCCTGGGTGATGGAAGTGGTTATAATTCACTGTAGAAGCTCTTGAGTGTTAGCAAAGGGAGGTAGGTTCCCAGGCATTTCCAGCCTTAGTAACACTCTCCATCCATTCCTTGGCTTTTGTCCAGATCGCCTTTTTTCTCTACAACGGGGTGGCCTTGGACCAGTTTGTGTTGCAGGTCACTCACCCCCACTACCTGAAGAATGCTTTAGTTTATCACCCCCAGCTCCGAGCTCAGGCCTGGCGCTACCTGACCTACATCTTCATGCATGCAGGGTAAGTACCCATCTCCCTATCTTCTCTCCCCAAGTCAGGATCATTCATAAAGTAATACGTGATATTAAGAGGCAAAGGTAGGAAAGCGTGGTAGATAGAATGGTGGACAGAAGTCAGGATTCATTCATACCCTACCTCTGACACCCCCTGGCTGTGTGACCATGGACAAATCACAACCTCTCTGAGCCTCAGGCAACTCTGAGACTTATTTATTTATGATTTATCTGCTTGCTCTGACACTTACTTGTGAAGGTGTTCCAGAGAAGAGCCTAGCCATCGGATTTTGTCCCTTGTCACTTGGTTATTCATTTTTGTGGTTGGTTATTAAATTTATAATATACAATCTTTAAAAGTAGTAGAGAATGGGGGAGACAGCTAGGTGGTATAGTGGATAGAGCACTGGCCATGGAGTCAGGAGGCCCTGAGTTCAAATCCAGCCTGAGACACTTACTAGGTAGCTGTGTGACCCTGGGCAAGTCACTTAACCCCCACTACCTCAAAAAAAAAAAGTGGTAGAGAGTGAAAATGTACTCAGAAGGTCATAGATTTGGAGCTGGAAAGGACCTGAGAATCTTCAGAGAGGTTCAGCGATTTGCCCAAAGTCAATTTGTTATGGCTGTTGTTCAGTCATTTCAGTCGTGTCTGACCCTGTGTGACCCCATTTACGGTTTTCTTGGCAAAGATACAGGAGCGGTTTGCCATTTCCTTCTTCAGGTCATTTTACACATGAGAAAACTAAGGCAAACAGGGTTCAGGTCACACAGCTAGTGTCTGAGGTTAGATTTGAACTCAGGGTTTTGTGACTCCAGGCCCAGTACTCTGCCCACTGCACCACCTTTGATATAGAGGCAGCATCAGAAGATCGTAATGTTAGAGACTGAAAGCTATCATCTAGTCCAATTCCTTCATTTTACAGACAAGGGAAACTGAGTTCCACAGAGGTTAAATGACTTGCCCAAGATCACATGGGTAGTGTCAGAGGCAGGATTTGAACCCAGGTCATCTAATCTATTATACCAGATCAAAAAATGACTGAGTTGCAATGCCAGCCCAGTGATCTTAACACTGTCTGATGCTGCCTCCTATTCATATAGATAGTGTAACAAAAAGAAGGCTAGAGGGCCTAGGCCCAAATTCTTTCTGCCTCTGTGACCTTGGGCAAGTCTCTTGCCTTCTCTGGTCCTCTTTCCTCATCTGTAAAAAGATGGGGTTGGATTAAATGGCCCCGAGGTCATTTCTAGCTCAAGAGATCTGATTCCATGAATTGATCAAATGTCAGTTGAATTTATGAGGGCCACGGGGTTATGGAGTGAAGGAGGGATTGACTGCATGACTGCCCCCCATTTTCCTCCCCTCAATGGATTGTTTCCAGGGTCACAGCCGTGGAAGGTAGGCGAGGGTCATCTCCCTGACTTGAATCAATATTTTTTATTCCTGCTCGAAGCTTTCACAGCCTGAGTGCTCTCTTCTGGGTGAGACACAATCAGCCTGGCCCCTGCTGCATTTCCATGACAAAGGCCAACTTACAGGCTAAGCGGTCACCCGAGGGAAGGCAGGAGGCCATTCAGGGATAACTTTGTCAGAGCAGGCCAGACGTATTTCCTGGACTCCAGGTCACCAGGCAGGGTCCAAGAGCTCAGGTCCCCAGCTCTTCCCTCCACTCACATCAAAAGGACGAACGATCTAATTTTCTCCCAGCCATCCCCATTGAACTTTGGAGGGGAGGGGAAAAATGACCTGTTGACCCATTGCTCTCTGGAGCAGTCTCCCCCTTGGGAAGGGAAGGAGGCATCCCTAGCGTTTGGTTCCCAGAGCTCCATTGTCCCTTTCCCTGCTCTGAAAGAGACAGAGTGGCCGGGCTGCACCCCAGCTGAGAGATCCATTGTAAGTTTCACTTCCTGCTGAGCTTTTAAAATGGTAATTGTCTCAGTCCCTAATTTACTCCCCTGCCAGGCTGGGGGAGGGAGGGTCCTTGTGGGCTGGCGAGGCATCCAGGTGGTTGCCAAAACTAAAATCAGAGGGAACTGAGAAGTCTGGAGACGTGGGAGGAGGGCAGGTGGAGAGACTGTTAATCTCTTCTCCCCCTTTCCCTGCTTCAGCTTTTGATAATGTTGGTGGAGAGGTGGGGGTGGTCAGGCTCATTAATTCCCCTGGCCATTCAGCCTATCCCTGAGGCAGCTGGACACTGATAAATCAATTGGATTCTGTCATTGGAAAGAATGACCAGCTGAGAGAGACCGATGCCAATTAGGTTTTATGGAGCTTTTCCAAAGGCTGGGGCAGAAAGAGGCCAGCCTTGATACAGGCTTTACCCCTAAGAAAAGCTTTCTTCTTCTACCATCGGATCCCTTTGCATTCACCCTCCACCCCACCTCCCCACCCCTGATGATCCTGGAGGACTCTGGTCTTACTTCTTGCTCTACTGACCTTCTTCCCCATTGGAACCACTCTCCAAAGATGAGATGTTACAATTATCAGGGCTGTGAGGTGGCCAGTGGGAAAGTATGTTAGAGGCAGTGGACAGTTCAAATCTTGACTGCTACTTACAACCTGTGTGACCTTGGGCAAGTCACTTACCTGTGGTGCCTCTGTGTCCTCATCTGCAAAATGGAAGAGGTTGGACTGAATGAACTCTGTGGTCCTTTTCAGTTCTAAATTTATGATCCTTTTCATAATTGTTCTCTCTGGGTAGAGCAGGGGAGAGTGTGCATGTTGGTGCAAGACCTTGTCTGTGGGTGCCCACAGTAGATAATCCACATGTCTGAGTGACAGAGCTGCCCCATGGGTGAAACAAGTGGCAAAGTATTCTTTGTCCAAAACAGTGACATGATTTATTAGAGTAAGCAATGAAAACCTGGCCCAGAGCTAAGAACTGAACCTTGGGAAGGGAAGGAATAAGCATTTATTTAGTGCCAGGCATTGTGCTAAATGCTTTTCTAAATGTTGTCTCATTTGATCCTCACAATGACCTTGGGAGGCAGGTGCCATTATTATTTCCATTTTACAGTTGAGGAAACTGAGGCAAACAGAGGTTAGTGACTTGCCCAGGGTCCCACAGCTGGTAAGTGTCTGAGGCAGGATTTGAACTTGGGTCATCCTGACTCTGTGTCCAGCACTCTATGCCCTATGGTGACACCAGCTGCTTTGAGTTCGGGACACTCATTTAGACGATATTTCCTGATCTCATTCATTCATTTTTAGAATCATAGATTTAGCCATGGAAGGGATCCTACAGGTCATCTATTCCAACCCCCTCACTTTAAAACTAAGGAAGTGGAAGCCCAGAGAGCTGAAGGGATTTGCCCACAGTCGCCAGGTAATAAGTAACAGAGTCAGGATTTGAATCCAGGTACTTTGATTCCAAATCCAATGCTCTCTCATAGAATCATAGCATACTCCGTAGGTCATCTAGTCCAAACCCTTCATTTGGCAGATGAGAAAACTGAGGCCTCCGAGATTAAGTGACTTGCCTAAGGTCATTCAGGTAGTAAGGGTCAGAGGTAGGATTTGAACCCAGATCCTCTGACTTCAAATCCAGTTCTCTTCCACTATACTAAGTTGCCTCTGACTATGTGCCTGTCACTGTGTTAGGTGCTGGGGGGCGGAAGCGGGGGGAGAGAGATAAAAAGAGAAGAACAAGGGACAGCTCGGTGGTGCAGTGGATAGAGCACTGGTCCTGGGTTCAGGAGGGCCTGAGTTCAAATTTGACCTCAGTCACATAACACTTACTAGCTTTGTGACCCTAGGCAAGTCACTTAACCCCATTGCCTAGCCAAAAACAAAAAAAACACACACACAGAAAGAGAAGAACAAAACAGTCCTTGCCCTTCAAGGGGCTCACCCTCTATTGTACAACAAGTACATAGATAAGTAAATACAAGACATATAAAATGGAATAATTTTGGTGGGAACAGGGGCAGGGAATGTGCTAGCAGTTATCGGGGACCAGAAACGTCTTCATGGAGGAGGTGGTACTTGAGCCTCCAAGGAAGCCATGGATTTGAGGAAGCTTCTCCCACCATTCCCTTTAGCAGCTGGGAGCTGAGGGACATCCCCTGCTGGGCCTTGTCCCCCTAGTTGTCCTCCTCCACTACAGAGAAGGGGAGAACACAGACAAGGGAGAAGGCAATAGGGGAAGGAAACCTTGCACAGCAGACCAGGCACTTGCCTGCTGTGCCACACCACCAGAAAAGTCCCAAGAAGCTCCAACCTCCTCCCCAGGGAGGGGTGTTACTCCTCTCAGTCCCCTCATGCCCATGAGCATATGTTCTTGTACTGAATGAGGGGGAGGGCCCCTTTTCCAAAGACTGACCATCTGATGGAGCTCTTCTCCCTCTCCACTACAGGATAGAACACCTAGGTCTCAACGTGGTACTGCAACTCCTGGTGGGTGTCCCGTTAGAGATGGTTCATGGAGCCGCCCGCATTGGGTTCGTCTATGTGGCCGGTGTTGTGGCAGGTAGGTGGGACCAGGTTCAGGCTGAGCTGGCTGTCCCAAAGTTGTCTGGGAAAACTCCCATGGTGCCAGGTCATATGCACAATTTCCAGTGGGGGGAGGGTCACTGAGATATAGATATATATCTATATATATCTATATATATATCTATATATCTATATCTATATCTATATCTATATATAAAATATTCCTTTTGAAAAAAGCTACAAGTACACAGTTAGTTACCTGTATGGATTATTTGGCATGTGTCCCATTGACCTTCAGGCAGATCCCACTCTGGCATATTCAAAATGAAGGTGTTGGAGAGGGAGGGATATAGGTGGTTGTGAGAGAGGAGCAATGACTTCAAGGACCACAGATTTAGACCTGGAAGAGCCCTTAGCAATAATCTTGTCCAATCTCTCATTTTACACATGAGGAAACTGAGGTCTGTCCTCATGCACCTCAGCTTCCCCTCACCGTCATCTGACCATGGTAACCTAAGTACCTGCTACACCCTTAGCCCTCCCAGGCCTTTCCATCTTCCTTGTAACTGAACCTTTCTCTTATGTGTTATCTTCCCCAATTAGCGTGTGCTCCTTAGGAAGAGGGACTATCCCCCTTTCTCTCTTTCTATCTCTGGGGCTTGATACATAGTAAGTGCTTCATAAATGCTTTCTCATTCATTCACTCATTCACTCATTTCAAGATCACACCAATTACAAAGCCTTGGAGCCAAAATTTGAATTATAGCACTGGGGCTATGAAAGACTTTTTTCATAGTACAAAGCTTAGTAAATGTTTTATTTCCTTGTCTATCTATCCAGCCCGACCCCTTTATCTCACAGATTGGGAAACTGGGCCCAGTTTAAGTGCCTTGCCCAGGATCATACAGGTAGTAAGGACAGGTGCTGAATTTGAACCAGGGTGCTCTGACTCCATAGCCCAAAGACTCTGGGCTGGAGGGGAGGGGGAAGGAGATATCCTCCTTCTAAGAACAAAGAAAAATCAGAAATCTGCCTGTGACGTCCTCCTATGTTCAGCTCCTACTTTGTGGGGGCTACCTGGGCTGAAGTAGAATGAGCTGACATCCCAGTTTAAAGGATCTTGTTAAAGTATTCAATGACTTCAATTCAGTGAGGCACTGTGATAGGCACTGTGATAGGCACAAGGAATTCAAAGTAAAAATTAAAACAGCCTTTGCCTTCAAGGAATTTTGGGAGAAATTATATGTATTTAAATAAATAAAGGCAAACTATATACAAAGTAGATAGGAAGTTGTTTAGGGCCAACAACCAAGAAATGCCTCTTCTAAGGGGAGACTGTTAGGTTGAAGAAGAGAGCCAAGGATTCCTTTTTTTTTTTTTTTAAGGCAATTGGGGTTAAGTGACTTGCCCAGGGTCACACAGCTAGTAAGAATCAAGTGTTTGGTCTGAGGCCAGATTGGAACTTAGGTCCTCCTGACTTCAGGGCTGGTGCTCTATCCACTGAGCCACCTAGTTGCCCCAAGAGCCAAGGATTCCAAGAGGTGTGAGGAAAGAGAGAAAGTATTCCAGACATGAGGCACAGCCTGTGTGAAAATGCAGAGTCTGGAGATGAAACATCATGTATGAAACATCATACTCAGTTTGTCTGGAGCAGAGAGTTCTTCTCCTTCAAGGGCCTAACAGAAACTGCTCCAGAATCAAAGCACAGAGATATCCAAGAAGAGTCCAATCAAGAGGGATACAATCCCCAGGCTGCCTCCCTCACTGCCCAGTGAGAAACTATGAAAGGATAAGAACTGGACGAATGGACAGATTTCTGTAGGGAAATAAGCCAAGTTCTAGCTCTGTGGGCTTTGGGAGAAATCTCATCACATTATGGATTTTATTGGTGGCATTTTTATAAGGTTTTCCAAGGGCATGCTGTGTTAGTGAGGTCTTAATCTTTTCCCAGTAGCAATAAAATTGCAATCAAAAGAGCAAAACCCCATCCAGCCTTGCAAACAAACTACAGGCAGCGTAACCAAGGGGTGCTCAGGAAAGAAGGTGGTGATGATGTCCGCCCACACAAAACTCCTTTCTGCCCTTCAGCAGCCTTTCTTTTGCTGAGATTTCCCCAAGCACATACCTCTTTGAGTGTTCTCCAATAAAAGGATGACAGCACCGCTACCTTGGACAGCACCCACCTGAGTCACCCCGTAAGACCTAATTTTCTGTAATACACATACACAGAAAGGAAATCACATGCCCTTTTTTCAGAACAGGGAACTGAAAGACCCAGAGGTTCCATAACAAAAGAACAGAAAATACATTTGTCAGATCTACAGCTGAAATTAAATTAGGTGAGACAGTGAATATTTGGAAAGATGAGTAAAATTCTAAATGACCTTGGACAGTTGGGGGGAAAAAATGAGATTATGAAAAAACAGGATGAAATTATCATCTTGTTGGAATAAGGGCAGAGTGGCACATTCACCACTTAGACATATACAAGCCTGAGGAAGGGTTGCCCAGGTCATTTAGGTCCCTGCCAGTGTTTCTTGAATACTTTCCTTTGCAACCAATTGGGAAAACAAAGGTGTTTTGTTTTTGTTTTTGTTTTTGTTTATGTTTTTGTTTTGGTCTCCAAAGACTATGACCCTGGGACATGATCTGCCTTCATTTTTCTCCAGGGGTCGCCTCTCCTACATCAATTCCACAGGCAGTTGCAATGCACACATTACTTTTACTACCCTGCAAGGGTTGTGGAAAATCTCTGAAGTACAAACAATGTATAATTTAGGTAAATTACAAGCAAAAGGTCTCATATTACTCCATTACCTTGACACAGGTTTAAAATGCTACTCTGTTGCTTCCAAATCTTCCTGTTTTGCTCCCCCTTCCCATCAGCAAGCCCTTCCTTTGTCCCCAAACCTTAGGGTCACTAAATTTTCTTGCTAGTTGACTTCATTTCTTCCTTCCCATCCAAAATTGAACTATATCCTCTAGTCCTGTGTTGTTGGTCCATAGAGAAAGAGTGATTTTGGGATCTGTTAGACAGCTAGGTGGTATAGTGCTGGACTCAGAGTTAGGAAGACTTGGGTTCACAACCTACCTCAGATGCTTACTTGCTATGTGACTCTTCTGGGCAAATCAGATGACCTCTCTGGATGTAGGTTTCCTCTTTCATCAAATGATGGGGTAAGATTCAGTGACTTCTAAGTTTCCTTCTAGTTCTAAATCTATGAACATAGGATTCTATGTCTTTTTCATAATCATACAATACAGCTGGAGGCAGGAAACCCATTTTCCTGACTTCCATTGAACTCCAGTACCATTAAGTACCATGGTGAAGGTAGGGCTGAGAATTATGGTTATCCCAGGAAATGCATAAATAAGTTTGTGTGGCCCTGGCCAGTGGACCTCCTAGTTGGGTGGATTGGAAACACCCCTGCCTCCTATTTGTAAACGATGCCTGGAAAGCCCTTGTTTGTCTAAAACTCTGCATCCCTCTGTGTTGAGAAGACACAGGCTGTGATTGATTGGGTGGAGGTAGAAGGAAAAGGATGAAGGAACAGAGACTTGCTCTGTCTACTCTCTGTAGAGGGAAACTTGGACCACAGAAGGAGGCCATGCCCGGAAGGCTGGGTCTTCCTCCAGCCACGCTGTACCAAAATAACCAAGCATCTCATCCTTTCCCAAGCTCCAGTTAAGCTTACTGGTACATCCCTAAACTGCTGAGATTTCCTCCCCACCCCAATACAATCCATTGTCATGCACATCATGGCGCTACTTTATTTCATGCCTTGGTTTTATTTTATTTATTTCCCTTAATTTATGGCTGACCCTGCTTTGTAAAATTAACCAACAATAGATCAATACCTAATTAAAACTGGAGGAAAGCTGATGGGAATGGACTTAGGGGGTTCTAATTTGTTGGTGATTTTTTTCTTCTTTGTGATCACTGCACCTACCCTACTCTACCCCCAGTTTCATAATGGCAGTCTTAAAAGTCCTGGGGGTGAGATTGCTGTAGTGCCTGAGGATCTTGTTATGGGCATTGGTATTTCTAGCCCAGTCTTGGAAAGAATGGAAGTGCACTTCCTTCCTCCCATTCACAGACATTCAAGTTTTATAGGATCGTAGATTTAGAGGTAGAGGAGATCTCAGAAGTCATCCAGCCCAGTAACATTGTTCTCAAGGTGAGGAAACTGAGACTGAAAGGCTAAATGTCCTAGAATCATAGAATCATAGATTTAGAGCTGGAAGTAATCTCAGAAGTCATTACCTCCCACCTCTTCATAAGGATGAAGAAACTGAGGCCCAGAGAGGTTAAGTAACTTGCCTAAGGTCACACAGGTAGCAAATACCAGACAAAGGATTTGAACTCGGGACCTCTGACTTTTTTCACTATCCTACTGTGCCTTTCCAACTGTACCACTTTCTCATGAATCAAGGAAATCCCCAGCACCAGGGGATACCACTCAGTGAAAACCACCCTGGGAGTCTGCCCAGAGACCCAGTGCCCCATTGCATCTCTTCCAGTTTTCCACATCCTTCAAACAAACGCAGAAAGGGATGGAAGGGGAGTGGAGTAGGAGGGTTGTGATCAGATCTTCATCCCTCAGCCTTGGTGCCCAGGCAGAATCCAGGTCAGAAGCATTGTTGTGCCTCCTTGAACCTTGGCAGGGGAGCCTTCCTATCTTTCTGTAAGTCCTCAGTGACCCTCAATGGAGAGCCAGTGTGGTGATGGACCTGGAGTCAAGAGACCTGGATTCAAATTCTGCTTCAGATACTTGAAAACTGTGTCAGAGCCTCACTTGTATCATTCTCATTTACAAAATTGGGTTAATAACATTGGGAGCCACTTCTCAGGATCACTGTGAAGAAAGTATTTTGCAAACCTTAAAAAAGCACTATATAAATGTAAGGTAAGGGCAAGTCACTTCACCCTGTTTGCCTCAGTTTCCTCATCTGTAAAATGAGTTGGAGAAGGAAGTGGCAAACCACTCCAGTATATTTGCCAAGAAAAGCCCAAATAGGGTCATGGAGAGTTGACAT